CACAATGAGATATCACCTCACACCAGTAAGGATGGCCACCATCCAAAAGACAAACAAAAACAAATGCTGGCGAGGATGTGGAGAAAGGGGAACCCTCTTACACTGCTGGTGGGAATGTAAATTAGTTCAACCATTGTGGAAAGCAGTATGGAGGTTCATCAAAATGCTCAAAACAGAAATACCATTTGACCCAGGAATTTCAGTTCTTGGAATTTACCCTAAGAATGCAGCAGCCCAGTTTGAGAAAGACAGATGCACCCCTATGTTTATCGCTGCACTATTTACAATAGCCAAGAAATGGAAGTAACCTAAGTGTCCATCGGTAGATGAATGGATAAAGAAAAGGTGGTACATATACACAATGGAATATTACTCAGCCATAAGAAGAAAACAAATCCTACCATTTGCAACAACATGGATGGAGCTAGAGGGTATTAGGCTCAGTGAAATAAGCCAGGCGGAGAAAGACAAGTACCAAATGATTCCCCTCATATGTGGAGCATAAGAACAAAGAAAAAGTGAAGGAACAAAACAGTAGCAGAATCACAGAATCCAAGAATGTACTAACATTTACCAAAGGGAAAGGGACTGGGGAGAATGGGAGGGAAGGGAGGGATAAGGGGGGGGAGAAGAAAGGGGGCATTAGGATTAGCATGTATAATGTGGTGGGGGGCACGGGGAGGGCTGCGCAACACAGACTGGACAAGTAGTGATTCTGCTACATCTTACTACACTGATGGACAGTGACTGTAATGGGGTTTGTGGGGGGCACTTGGTGAAGGGGGGACCCTAGTAAACATAATGTTCTTCATGTAATTGTAGATTAATGATAACAAAAAAAAAAGAGTACAGCATTAAAAAAAAAGAGAGAAGAATAACAACAAAAAGCTTGCACTTCTTCCACTGAGATCCGTGCAGCTCATTACTGGACCAGACCTTAAAGCCTCAAGACAAGGGTTAATCTTCAACAACTGAGATGTCTGTAGGATGGGTCAACTATATCACACTCTTATGTGTAGACTACTTTGCCCAGCTGCTCAGCTGGGAGTAAAGCCAATCAAAGAAACGAGACACTAACTTCACACCTCCATCTAAGTGAAACATTTAAAAACCGTCAGTCCAGGCATTTGGAAAAGGAACACGTTTAACAACAGCAGTGCTGCTAAAGTACCCAGTAAACACTCGTTCTGGCAATGGCCCACAAGGTTAACCTCTACAGAACTCAGCCTGACACCATGAAATAATCCATTCAGTCATACGATAATTGTTACCACTTTTGAAACAAAAATACATAAATTAAGGTAATAGCTGTGTATATCATCGGCAAATGTCACATGGAAATTGCTACAGCCTGTAAGGTCCATACCATTTAGAAAACACACCCAGTCACTGTTCTTTTCAGACATATTTATATAAAGATGATAATCAACATCTGTAGCATCAATAGGCTTGATCAGCAGATGTCAGCCACAAAGTCATGACTGTGCAGCCAACACCAAAGGGCCAGCGCTCATCACTGAAGCAGCCAATGACTGTCAATCACATGACAAGCTGCAGCCCTCCATCCACCACCAGGACGTGCCCCGTGACATACGGAGATTCTAGAAGAAACACCACCGCCTGGGCCACGTCAGCAGGTTCCCCAAACCTCCCCAGAGGGATACTTTTCTTTAAATGTTCTTCCTTCAAGTCTTTTGTCATTTCTGTATGAACAAATCCTAAAAGAGAAATGTTTATTTAGTTGAAAAGACACTAAGACATGTGCTCAATTTCAAACAAAAATGAATTTGCTCCTGAAAATTCGAGATTAATAAACTATGTGTAGCAAATAGAGTTTTGCAAAAGTCAAGTAACCAAATCTACAATTTCACTCAATTTAACTCAATGTACATTTACTGAACACTAAAATATTTGACCCCCAAATATTGGGCCCAACTCATAATACAATGTAAGTGGATGGATACAAACATGAATCAAAATTCCATTCCTTCGGGAACCTAACATTTATGAAGAAATACTCATCTGTACCCCTAATTATAAAAGGAAGCCTAGTGAATATCCATATAGAGGTATATACAGAGTACACAGAGCTGATTAATTTTCACCTTTCCTGGGGGGAGAGCAATGGAGCAGGTTTGAGGGGAGGAAGGGTCACAAAGGGGGTCACGTGAGCTGACGTGGCAATTCTGGCAAGTGACGTTTCGCTTGCTACAGCTAAGGTGGCTGAGAACGGACCAACACAGCTGACCCTGAACACAGGTTTTAACTTCAAGGGCCCACTTGTACATGGATTTTTTTCAATAAAGATACTGAAAAATATTGGGTGACTTATAAGAACTTGAAACTTTTCCTTTTTCCTGCTGACTTTAAGAATACAGTACATAATCCATAACATACAAAACATGGATTAATCGACTATTCGTGCTGCCAGTAAGACTCCAGATCAACAGCAAGCTATCAGTAGTTAAGTTTTTGGGGAGTCAAAAGTTATACATGGAGGTAGGGTCTCAAGATGGCATGAGTAGGGCAGCAGAAATCTCTTCCCAAAACCATATATATTTTGAAAATACAACAAATACAGCTCTTCCTAAAAGAGAGACCAGAAGATACAGGACAACAGCCAGGCTACATCTACACCTGTGAGAACCCAGCACCTCACAAAGGGGGTAAGATACAAGCCTCAGCCCGGCGGGACCCGAGCACCCCACACCCCAGCTCCGGGTGGGAGGAAAGAATCAGAGTGGGGAGGGAGTGGGAGCCCAGGACTGCTATATAACCAGCCCTAGTAACGTGAACGGGGAGCACAGACACACATTGCATGGTGTACTGGATATTAGGGAAACAGAAAAGTAAAATCCAAGATGCAGACTGTGAGCAGGTCCCCACAGCCGGCTCCCCTGGGACAAAAGAAAAGCGGGCACTTTTTAGAAGTCTTAAAGGGACAAGGGCTCAACAGCTGGACAAATCGTCCCAGCACACTCAGCCCAGCAGGCTAGGAATCTTGAGGAACTTCAGGCTCCCTAATCCCCTAGGGGGTAACACAGCCCCAAAGCCCCTCACAGCGATAAGCAGCCTGCCATTCATTACCCCCGGCCGGTGCTGCAAGCGGACCGGCTGACCCGCCGCAGCTGTGGAGCAGCCGAACAGCCCACCCACAGCAACCACCCAGAGACTGCCTTCTGGCGTGCCGGTAACCGGCACAGGCAGCAGAAGCCGGAGCAAGGTCCAGAAGGCACGAAGGGGCGCCGTTCTCGCAGGAGAACACACCCAGCGTGGCTGCGACCCCACACAGTGTGCTAGGCTATCCCGAGGGCTGCCCCACCCACGGCAGTTCAGGAGATTATCCCAGAGACTGCTCCCGATGTGCAGGTAGATGGCACAGAGGGCGGAGGAGGGCTAGGTGACCAACAAGCAGGAAGGGACTTCGTTCTCCCAGCTGGCACACATGCCACTTGCCTGCGACCACTTCTGTCGCCATGAAAAGGCAGAAGAATCTGGTCTAGTCAAAAATCACTCAGACAACCCCAGAGAGAGGGCCTGGGGAGACAGATATAACCAATCTTCCTGAAAAAGAATTCAAAATAAAAGTCATAACCATGCTGATGGACCTGCAGAGAAATATGCAAGAGCTAAGGGATGACGTCCGGAGGGAGATTACAGAAATGAAACAATCTCTGGAAGGACGTACGAGCAGACTGGATGAGGTGCAAGAGGCTGTTAATGGAACAGAAATCAGAGAACAGGAACACAGAGAAGCTGAGCAGAGAGAGATGAAAGGATCTCCAGGAATGAAAGAATATTAAGAGAACTATATAACCAATCCAAATGGAATAATATTCACATTTAAGGGGTACTAGAAGAAGAAGAAGAGAGAGAAAAAGGGATAGAGTGTGTCTTTGAAAAAATAATGGCTGAAAACTACCCCAAGGTGGGGAAGGAAACAGTCTCTCAGACCATGGAAGCCCACAGATCTCCCAACACAAAGGACCCAAGGAGGACAACACCAAGACACATAATAATTAAAATGGCAAACATCAAAGACAAGGACAGACTATTAAAGGCAGCCAGAGAGAAAAAAGGTCACCTACAAAGGAAAACCCATCAGGCTATCATCAGACTTCTCAGCAGAAACTTTACAGGCCAGAAAAAAATGGCATGATACATTTAATGCACTGAAACAGAAGGGCCTTAAAACAAGAATACTGTATCCAGCACAATTATCATTTAAATTTGAAGGAGAGATTAAACAATTTCCAGACAAGCAAAAGTTGAGGGAATTTGCCTCCCACAAACCACCTCTGATGGAAGCACTCCTAAGGCTAAACAGATGTCACCAGAGAAAATAAAATCACACCAAAGAAAGCAGACCAACCAAATACTAACTAAAGGCAAAAAGTGAAATCAAATATCCACAAAAGCAGTCAAAGGAAACACAAAAGAGTACAGAATAAAACACTTAACATATAAAGAATGGAGGAGGAAGAAAAGAAGGAAGAGAAATAAAGAATCATCAGACTGTGCTTATAATAGCGTAATAAGAGAGTTAAGTTCGATGGTTAGATTGTAAAGAAGCTACCCTTGAACCTTTGGTAACCACGAATCCAAAGCCTTCAATGGCAATAAGTACGTATCTTGCGATAATCATCCTAAATGTAAATGGACTGAATGCACCAATCAAAAGACACAGAGTAACAGAATGGATAAAAAAGCAAGACCCATCTATATGATGCTTACAAGAGACTCACCTCAAACCTAAAGACATGCACAGACTAAAAGTCAAGGGATGGAAAAAAGATATTTCATGCAAACAATAGGGAGAAAAAAGTAGGTGCTGTAGTACTTGTATCAGACAAAATAGACTTCAAAACAAAGAAAATAACAAGAGATAAAGAAGGACATTACATAATGATAAAGGGCTCAGTCCAACAAGAGGATATAACCATTATAAATATATATGCACCCAATACAGGGGCACCAACATATGTGAAAGAAATACTAACAGAATTAAAGAAGGAAATAGAATGCAATGCATTCGTTCTAGGAGACTTCAACACTCCACTCACTCTGAAGGACAGATCCACCAGACAGAAAATAAGTAAGGACACAGAGGCACTGAACAACACAGTAGAACAGATGGACGTAATAGACATCTACAGGACTCTATACCCAAAAGCAGCAGAATACACATTCTTCTCAAGTGCACATGGAACATTTTCAAGAATAGACCACATATTAGGGCAAAAAGAGCCTCAGTAAATTCAAAAAGATTGAAATTCTACCAACCAACTTCTCAGATCACAAAGTATAAAACTAGAAATAAATTGTACAAAGAGAACAAAAAGGCTCACAAACACATGGAGGCTTAACAACATGCTCCTAAATAACCAATGGATCAATGACCAAATTAAAACAGAGATCAAGCAATATATGGAGACAAATGACAACAACAGCACAAAGCCCCAAGATCTTTAGGGAAGACTATACAAACACACTTCAACAACACTCATAAAATTTCCCTTTGTATACAAACTGGCCTCCCACTATTTAGCCCGTTGCCTTGACAACTAATTCATTCTGACAATGTTAAGCATTCCATCCTTTGTTTCCATAAAGTCTTAATACGGTACTTGTACATTCACCACATCTAACCACAAGTAATCTACTCTGTAAATGGTTAAATCAAGGTAATGCTGAAATCACTGGGGGCATAAAGTGTCCACACAAACAGAACACAGTGCCAAGGTGACCGGGCAGCTTTTGGATTATCTTCTTGTTTTCAAAACAAGGATGTATCTAAACAACATTTATCAAATGTTCATGGATTTGGACCATCTGAATTCAGCTTGTCTTTGTGACTAAGCCATGAATTTGGAAGAAAACACGTCACAGAGCAAAAGGGCTCTCGGGACCTCCAGCAGTTCCCAGACCCCTGCTGGCCCAACATCAGGGCCAAGGAAGCCCCAGCTGGGGTCCGCGCCGCAGCTGCAAGGACTGGACAAGGAACGGGGGCAGATGTCCCCTTCCGCCTATTCTTTCTTACAAACAACCAATGAGAAAAAAGTCTTTTCTTATATAGGTGATCAATTTTTAATATCTAAATAAGCTTGGACAAATGTTCCAAGGCCAACTAGCAGTGGTATATGAAAACTCGTTTTATTCAAAAGTCAAGTAAACACCTAACCAAAGTTTCTATCACAGGCACCAATGAGTGACCGTGTAGGTCTGAGCCTTATCATCTTTTCATTGCCATCTTCACTAATCCAAGCAATACTATCAACAGTACCTTAGAAAAGGGCAAATAATGTAAGAGTGATGAGATTAGAAGATCCCAGATAGTTTAGACAGACCATATTAGAAAAAGGACAGAAAGACCCTGAAGCTAATGATGACATAAAAGAAATCTAAGGGGCGATTATTTTCAATGGGGCCATTTACAGTAGCTGAAAATCAAGACAGAGGTTTTAGTTAACAGCTCTGCCATGTACAGCTGTCTAACCTTTGCTAAGTCCCTGTCTCCTAGGACCTAGTGTTCCAAACTGTTAAAACGATTGGAATAAACAATCTCTAAGATCCTTCCCACCCTATGTTGTTCCATAATCAGTGCAAAGTTTACAGAAATTTTGTATAAAATATGAAGTTCAAGGAATTTTCTTCTAGTCACCAGTCATTATTTTTCACAATCACTTTAGAACTATTCTACCCAGATGTCAATCTATTA